CATAATGTGCCAAGTAGCGACAATGAAAAGATGACAAATGAATAGAGCATTTGTGAAACAAAATTGATAAATACTAATTAGCCAAAAATAAAAATAATTAAAAAAATAAAAAACATGCGAAATTCAAAACTATAAAAAAATATCACATAAAAATTTTTATCTGCAAATAGCAAAAAATGGTCATACATCATAAAAAAAATAAAATAAATAAAAAGCCATATTTTGAACGATGCTAACTCGTGTCTATTGATATATTGTTTTAGATTTCTTAATGGCTATAATAATAAATGTATTAATATCTATACTTGTCGATCAATTGTCACTCAAAGATTGCCAAAATCTATTTTGTATCAATTAGCCTTATTAAAAACTAAGATCAATTTCATACTAAATTTTATCAACAAATAATAGATCGAGTACAACATAATTATGAATTAAGCTTTTCATAGCGTTTAAGAATTTAGCTAGCATCATAAAATCAATATAATGCATTTTCTATGGCAAATTGAATAAGAGAATGGTTGATGTGAAATAGAAAAATGATTTGCTTAAAGAGAGTTTCTTACTTTTTTTATTTGATTAGAGAGAGAAATAACAAATATCTTAGATCCGGAAATAGAGAAGCTTGTTAGCACCTAATTTAAACCTTTTTTTTTCATAAATTATTCAAAGAAATCTGAAAATACAAAAAAATTAAACACTTTTCTTGATTACTTTAATTGACCAAAATTAGATATTTCTTTAAATATTAGTGATTTTTCGTTATCTTAGGAATTTTAAAAAATTACTAACATGATATATCCGTTATCCTTTCATCTTCATGGGATCATGTGTTTTTTATATTGATTTTAGCTTGTGAGAAAAAAATTTGACGGTCATCGCCTCTTACCTCTCAATCTATTTTTTAGCCTTGCAGAGTAGGAGAACTACATTCTCATCTCAACGAGTATAAATCAAAACATAAAATCAATTGCCTTTATTTTTTATTTTTTAAAAAGAACCAAATTCAATAATCACATTTTCATTATATTAAAACAACCAAATAGAAATACAACAAAGAAACTCTTTATTATTTTTTCTAATAAGTTTTCTACGTTTTGTAAGAAGTAACTAAACCCCATAATGAATACTTGATATTTTTCACTACCTTACTTAAAACAACAACAACAAGCCACCAATTCATCTTTTTGTTTCATTGATTCAGTAAGCCATCATTTAGGAAATGAAAATAAAATAATAAAAACCCTTAAAACATTAAAAAAAATCAATACCGTTAAGTATTTGGATTTCCCCATGACTTACACTACAACCACGCACTTTATTCCTACCACGAGCTATCTTGAGAGCACTGGTAAGACAAATAGAGAGTAAATTACAAAAGCAAGTTGTTTAATTTGAATAATTCCTTCACTTTAATAATAATAGTGGCTCATTTAAATAGAGCTACTTACAACAATGAATGTCAAATAAAAACGGAAGACCAACCTATTACGATCGAAATAACAAACAATAAGGAATTATGCTTAAGGGAATAACAACTAAAATAAATAAACTATTCTTAAGGAATAAATAGAGATATTGTTGGTGACAAGCATACCTTCTAGTAGAGGAATTGTTGGCGGTATTGCAACTCGGTGGACTTGGACTCTAGTTGAGCTCGAACACGAGCTTAGACCATAGTAGATTGGACATGGGACCAAAGTGGATTAGACCTTAACGACTTCTTCCTTCCTAAGATACTCCTTAGCCGTAAGGAGGAGGAAAGTTAGGAAATTCTTGAAGGAAGGAAACTCGATTGAACCAGATTATTTTTGAAACATCGGTGTCGTGCCACCTTGGATAAAAAATTTCCAACTCTTACCTTGACCATAAACTCCAAGGATAACTACGGGGCCTTTGTGGGCATAGCTGCATCCTAACCAAATTCTAGAAAATGGCTAAAGGCTTGGTCCAAGTCTCTTATATTCTTCAATAATCACATATGAAAGATAGGATAGATTCTACTAGAAGGTTATAGTTCCGGATTGTAGGCTACGGCCCGATCTTGACTATCACTATGAAAGGTTCGTAGAAACGGGTTGTAAGTTTTTAAGAGAATTGAGCGACCACAATGGTCCGTCGATATGGCTTCAATTGTAAATAGACCTATTCTCTTAGCTGAAAGTCTTTTTCTATATAGGGGTGATCATAGTCCTGTTTCATCCTATTTTGTGCCCCAGAAGGTGTGAGTGTAGCTCTTTTAGAACTTGACCTTGTTGAAGTAGAGAATCCTCAACGACTTGAACCTTAGCCACACCGGGGACATAAGATAGTAGTGTTAAAAGGAGATGAACATATACCACTTCAAAAGGAGTGAGCCGTGTGGTAGGGTGCCGGCTAGCATTATAGTAATATTTTACCCAAATGATCCATTTAGCCTATTCTTGGTTTGGAGCTAGGGAAGTAATGAAGGTACATTTCAATAATTCAATTTAGGACCTCGGTCCGGCCATCCGTCCGTGGATGATAAGCTGAACTAAAGTTAAAACATGTACCCCGTAGATTGAAGAGCTCTTTCCAAAACACACTTATGAAGGTAGAGTCATGATCACACATAATTGACATAAGCATTCCATGAAGTTTAAAAATGTTATCAAAGAAGACTTAGAGTAATAATCGCATGCGAGTGATGTATGGATGAGAGATAGAGATGCAATGAGAATATTTAGAGAATCTATCGACCTATCACAAATATGATATTTTTACCTCGTGAGAGTGGGAGGCCATCAATAAAGTCCATTGAATTGTTAACCTATACTTAAGATGGAACTGGTAAGGGGTGGAGAAACCTTGTGAGTTTTTACAAGTCGGTCTTATGGCGTTGGCAAATGTCACATTCTCGTATAAATTGCTAGAGATCGTCCTTCAATTTTTTTCTAGAAGAAAGTTTCCTCGTGCTCGTGCAAGGTCTTGTTGTACCCCTCATAGCTACTCGTCATGGACTTTATTAAGTATTACTAGAATAAGGAGAGAGTCTTGTGGAAGATAGATTTTTCTCTTTGTAGAAGAGAATGCCATATTTCACATATCGAGGCTCGATAGCCTCTCCTTACCGAACCAATTTGTGAAATCATTGAAGATCCGGATGGCTACCATTTTCTTTTATAATTGGATCAAGCCACTACGGAATGGGTGCCAAGAGAGCATGAGCTCTAATTTAGGTCCTTTTAATAGAGCATATGTAATTGCATCGGTACACCATTGTTTATACTCGATGTAGAAATCATAACCGGTAGCTTGACTAACTATCGTTGTTGAGATTTAATGGTAATTTGTTGCTTCGAAAAAATATTTGAGACTACACTCGGTCAATTCAAATTGTGAAGCGTGCCACTAAACAGGTAGAATCACCATTTTTGTACCACCAAAACCGAGTGCCATTAACTCCTTTTCATAAGTTGAGAGAGATTCTTACATTGGAGGTTAGTGCTAAAGTAAGCAATGGGGCATTGATTTGGCATAAAGACGACTTTGTTGCCTACTTTAAAGACATCACACTCTATTGCAAATGAGAGGGAAAAGTCCGGTAGGGCTAAAATTGGTGTTTGAGTCATAGTTATCTTAAGTCTCTGAAATGCACAATCTGCTACTTAGCTCCATGAAAAAGCATTTTTCTTGAGCGGAGTTGGTTAAAGATCATGTAAATACTTGATAGCTTGCTATGAAGCATTGGTAGTATCTTGTCGAGCCTAAGAACCCTCATAGCTCCTTGATAGTTCGTGGCTTAGGCTAATTGGTAATAGCTTTGATCTTTTCTAGGTCGGGCATAACTCCCTATTCATCAATGATGTGTACTAGGTAGTGTATCTATTTTTGAGAAAATTAGCATTTGTCCTTTTTTTACAACAAATTGGTTATCTCTCAAAATTGAAAAAACCATTCTCATATGATATAAGTGTTCATCCCTACTCGACTATAAATTACAATGTCATAAAAAAATACTAAAATGAATTTCCTCAAATGTGGCTGAAAGATGTCATTCATAGGAGCTCGAAAGGTAGAAGGAGCATTCAAAAGTCCGAAAGGCATTACCAAAAAATCGTGATGGCTATGGTGTGTGCAAAAAGCCATCTTTGTGATATCCGCAAGATGTATCCTTATTTGATGGTACCCGATTGAAGGTCCAAATTGGTGAACCACTTTGCCTCTATCAATTCATGTAACTCGTTCTTTAATAACTGGTATGGGAAATTTGTCTTTAATTGTGATTTGATTCGGTGCCTTATAGTCTACATAGAATCGCCGTGAACCATTACTCTTCTTGACCAATAACATGAAAGAAGAAAAAAGGGCTCTTATTGGGAGGAATTAGACCACGATTAAGCATCCCAACTACCATTTGTTATCTCTCCATTTTTTGAAAGTGGGGATATCTAAATGGCTTAACATTCATTGGTTTGCTACCCTTCTCTACTAGAATTTCATGAACATGGATTTGGCTTGGACGCAAGCTTTCTAACATGTGAAAAACCTCGGGGAATTCATGTTGGATTTCTTGCCAATCCTTTGACTTAGAAAACTATTGATTTGAAATTGGTAATATCTACGGAAAAGGTCCTCTTCTCTAAGTCTCCTTTATGGCTCTACTTAATGTCTTCTCTCAAACTAATTTAGCTTTAGGAGTTTTAAGTCCCTTTAGTATAACCACCATTCACCCTAATTTAAAATTAATTTCCATATTCCTAAAAAATTCTAAAGAATAAGACCTAATGTTTGGAGCCATTGTTCTCTAAGTATTGCATCATACCCCTTTAAAGGCGAAGTAAGAAAGCAACTTAGAAAGGAGAATTTAGGAGAATTAAAGGTACCTATCTATAGAAGGTCATACTATCAAGCTTTTCCCCATTAGCTATCATTACCTTCATGGGTGACCCGAACTCAATTGAAAGGTCGAGTTGCTTACATAACTCGTTCGTGTAAGAAATTATGTGTTGACCCTAAATCAATAAAGATAGTGATGGTCACCCCCTTAATCTAGCTTGTACACTCATTGTTTGAGTAATAATGTTAATGAGAACATAGAGTGAAATCTCTAATGCCTTGGTGTCATCAAGGATAGATTCTTTAAGGAATAGTTCTAAAATTGCCTTAAGCCCTTGCTCTAGCTCAATAAAGAAAAATGTTTTGCACAAATGAGCCACCATGTAAGAATTGTCATAATGGAAGCACGGTCTTTGACGACATCATTGTTGTAGCTCCGTGGGTGTGAAACGAGTAGATTAGTTTAAATGGAATAGGAGTATTTGATTAAGGGAGATAGCCTCTTAGATGATTCCACTTGTAGGATTTCTCTTTGGATGGGCTTAGTAGCCCTAGGCTAAAAAGTCTTTCGACCTAGTAGACTAAGCCATGGGTCCGACATATGGGTAGTCCTCTTTTTAGAATTTTTTTACCATACTAGTACCTTTATTTAGAGTAGGTGGCCTTTAGGCCTTTACATCAACCCTTAATTGTTCTTTTAGGCCACTAATAAAAGCCCCTATCTCTTGTTCATCCGGAAAGGTTCCACCTCTCACCAACTGTCTATCAAACATGGTCTAATATTCTTGCACCATCCCTATTTGCTTGAGTTTACATAATTCAGCAAAAGAATTTTCATAAATTGATGTACCAAATCATTTAGTCAACATTTCCTTCAATTAGAGCCATGTGATGTTAGGTTAGAAATTGTTTTTTTGTTAGGCCCATAGCTAAGCATACCTCTTTAGATGATAAGTGGAAAATTGTACCTACTCATCTATAGAAGTATTTTGAAAGTCAAAGAATTGCTCCACCCAACTAATCTAGAGTGTGGGTGGGGTCTTCGATTCCATTATACCATGGAAAATCAAGTTTGATCTCTTTTGGAGAAAAATTCCTAAAGTTTCTATCCCGAGTTTGTGTTTCTCTACCTTGGACCAAGATGATTTATAGAGGACTCTTCTCTAGCCTAAAAGGTTTGAAACATCTTTGTCATCTATCTGCTAAGACTCTCAATCTAGTGTTTAAGTTGAAGGAAATGTTGGTCATTTGGTTCTTTGGCCATGGCTGGTTCCGATACCAAATTGTTAAGTACCGGCTTTCTCCACAACCTATACTATAACCATACGCTCTATTCCTACCACAAGTTATCTTGAGAGCACTCGTCAAGACAAATAGAGAGTAAATTGCAAAGATAATTCATTTAATTTGAATAATTACTCCATTTTATTCATAATAGTGGCTCCCTTAAATAGAGCTATTTACAATGATAACTATCAAATAAAAACAAAAAACAAACCTATTTTGACTAAAATAAGAAACAATAAGGAACTATTCTTAAGGGAATAACAATAGAAATAAATGAACTATTCTTAAGGAATAAATAAAGATATTGTTGGTGACAATCACAACTTCTAGTGGAGGAGTTATTGGCGATACTACAACTTGGTAGACTTAGACTGCGGTGGAGCTCGGACATAGGCTTGGACCATAGTGGACTGGACATGGGCTTGGACCATAATGGAATGGACCTTAACAAACACAAAATCATAAATGATCACTATTATTGACAATGAATTTGAATAAATAACTTTTAGAATTGCCGATCAAATTAATAAGCAAACCCAATCCCAAATAACAAAGAGCGGGAAATGGAATAGAATTCATAAAACTAATTTAATAGCAAAATGAATTAACACTAAATAGTTTTTAACAAAAATAACTACCAATATAGCAAAGATACCAACTAAAATAGTTCGAATCCTTCATAAGGACACCATAAAGAGTCAAATATTAAAAGTTTAACAAACATGAAAACCGAGACATTACCAATAAGAGAAAAATGCCAATATACATCTCCACTTCTAGTCTAACTAAAACACACTCTCCCTCATCAAATTACCAATTCTTCCTCCTCTCTCTATTCCACTACTCAATCCTAGCCCTTCGTTCCTCATTACCTCCCTTGACTAAGCTCTTGCCCTTGGTACTCGCTCCTCTTTGGACTCCATTGTCTTGTCCTTCATCTCTACCATACTTGTCATTCCTCCTCTCAACTCTATGATAATCATGGTCTCTATAATCCTTCTTATGACTATCATAATCTTTATCCCTATTCGGCCTCACAATCTTACTTTTGTGCCTACTAGCCCTATATCCATGATATCTTCCAAACAAGTTTCTATATAAATCCCTCCCAATCTGAATAGCTTACAAAACCACAATAGCTTGGTTCTCCTCCTTGAACTAAACATAAACATTATCGATCATGTGATTGGCGAGATTATCACAAATATTAAGGCTCTCGATCTTACCAAATTTTTTGAGTTCTTCAAAAAAAAATTCCTCATAAATTTCTTCAAAATGCTCCTAGATCTTGTGTGGGTCAAGTGGGCTGACCTTGAGCATTGATAGCGGGAGTTATCATGTAATTACGCTTCTTTGCTAAATCTGCTTTTGATTATTGCTTCGGTGACATCTCTTATTTACGTCTAAATCAATGCAATACACATTCCCAACCAAAATCGCTTCGATGATACCGATGAAGGAGAGAGTGGTGCCATTAGCAATGCAACTAGTCGTAAGGGACTAGTGGTGGGTGTAGTTAAGATAGAAGAAGAGATGCTTGAGACCTAACGAGAGAGGGTAGGATGAAGGACGGAGGAAAAAGAGATAATAAAGAAAAGAGGAGAGAGAATTTGAGAATGAATTTTCTTAACAATATTCATGCCTCATTTGATTACAATTTCCTATATTTAAGGACACAAGGAATCAATCCTTGCACCGGTATTATTTCTTCTAGAATGCTTCATAACGAGTACGTTAAGGCTGCAAAATATAACAAACGAGGGAAATTTTAATTATAACTAAATAGACTGTTATGCCACTTTAGTTAAACACACTCATTCGTTGTCGTTTTAGATTTACGACTCTTCTTAATTGAAACATAACACTCGGTGGTCGTTTTAGGCGCTTAATAACCCATCCCCCTTAAAATCATCCTTGACTTTAAAGATGAATTTGAAATTTTGGAAGCGGCCCAAGAAAAATCAATATTCTCCCATGTCACATTCTTCATTCCCAAACCTTTCCACAAAATTAACCATTTCACCCCAACTCGGTTCCCCTTCTTGTATAATCTTTGATCCAACACCTTCTCCGGTATGAATTCTTTTTTGTTGAAACCTCCACAAGTGGTAGAGTGGTGGAGGAAAATTGGCCGGACCCTATCTTCTTCTTAAGTAGGGATACGTGAAGAATGAGGGTGTATAGAGCTCTCCTCTAGAAGTTCCAAGTGGTAGGCCACCTTTTCAACCTTCTTCTTGACTCTGTACAAGCCATGGAATTTGGCACTTAGCATTTGGTTTGTGCATTTGGCCATTGAGGACTTGTTGGTATGGTTGTAGTTTAAGGTAAACCATGTCTCCTTTTTGAAAGTTCTTTCTACCCTCTTTTTGTCCGCTTGAGCCTTCATGCGGTCTTGGACCTTCAATCATTATTGCTCGACTAACTTCAACATTTCTTCCCTTTTCTCATAGGTGTTACTCTATTGTTGTAACCTTAGGAGTTTCCTCAAATGCGGTTGAGTGAGATGGGGGTTTGAAACCATAGAGGGCTTCAAATGGGGTGCTTTTCAACGAGTTATGGTAGGTGGTGTTGTGCCACCACTTAGCAAAATACAACCAACTCGCTCCATGCTTAGAGCTTATGAAAAGTCATGCATCCGAGGTAATTTTCCAAGCATTGATTTATCCTTTTCATCCGGCCATTTGTTTGTGGGTGGTGGGCTATGTTTAGCAATAAAGTAGTTCCCAATTGCTTGGACAATTCTTGCCAAAATTGACTTGTAAAGATGGGGTCTATGTATGAGATTATAATGTCGGAGAGGCCATGCAATTTGTAGATATTTTGTAGGAAGTGCTTAGCCACTATTACTTTAGTGTAGGGGTGAGTGAGGGCAATAAAGTGGCTGTATATAGTGAATTTATCTACCACCACCATGATAGCATGCTTCCTTTCGGAGGGGCAACCCTTCGATAAAGTCCATACTAACATGTTTCGAAGCTTCCATAGGAACTAGCGAGAGGTTGTAGTAGGTCGGGATAGGGGACCTTTTCAACCTTGCATTGTTGACATACTTCACACTCCATTACTTCTCTTTTAACTTCTTGTTGCAACCTTGACCAATGGAACAATTGTGTAGCTCGATAGTAGGTAGCCTTGAATCCCGAGTGTCCCATACTATGAGATGAGTGTAAATCCTTAAGAATTTTCTGTTTGAGTTCCCCCGTATTACCCATACATAACCTCGTCCTTATACCTCGATAATCCTCCATTGTAGGAGTAGTTTGGTGGTAACCCTCCCGATTTTTATGATGCTGCAATTACCTTCGGACTATGAGATCCCCCTTATAACTCTGTTTGACTTCATTTAGCAACTGTGGTTTAATCATTATGATGGTTACTAAGGTAGCATTATCTTCCTCTTCCTCATGTAGCTTATATAATGCATCCGTCGTAATATTCTTCCTCCCTTTTTTGTATGCTATGTGATAGTTAAGGCCTAATAGTTTGGTAAGACTCTTCTTTTGTTGGTGAGTGTGAAGTTTCGCGGTAAGAGTTACTTAAGGCTACGGTTGTCTATCTTGATGATGAAGTGGTTGGTCTCTAGGTAGTGCCTTCATTTTTCTACTTGTTGTGAGGATAGCCAAGAGTTCTTTCTTATAGGTCAATAGGCCTTAATTCTTTAAACATAAGGCCTTGTTGAAATGGGCTATAGGCCTCTTCCCTTGCGTTAGAACAACATCTATGCATGTGTCACAAGATTTGTCTCAAGGATAAATGTCTCCTTGAAGTTAGGTAATGCCAATATTGGAGCTGAACATATAGCCTCCTTAAGTTAGACAAAGGCTTATATGGCTTCCTCTCCCCATTTGAATACATCTTTCTTTAGTAGATTGGTTAAAGGTCCGTTAATATTCTCATAGTTTCGATGAACCTTCTATAGTAGCTAGTGCGTCCTAGAAACCCCTAAGTGACTTGAGGTTACTTGGTAGTGGCCACTCCCTCATGGCTCTGAACCTTAAAGGGGTTTGTTGCTACTCCCTCCCTTGTTATTATGGGGCTCAAATACTCCACTTGATCTACTCCAAACGAACACTTAGATCTTTTAGCCTAGAATTTGTGTTGCCATAGTGTTTGTAGCACGAGTCTTGAGGTAGTCTAGATGTGTCTCTAAGTTGTGACTATAGATAAGTATATCATAAAAAAAAACTAACATAAATCTCCTTAGATAATTAGTAAACACCTAGTTCATCGGTGCTTGGAAGGTGGATGGTGCATTGGTGAGTCCAAAGGGCATAACCTTAAACTCATAATGGCCTTGGTGAGTTCTAAATGCTTGTCTTTGGGATATCTTCCTTGGCCATTTTGATATGGTGGTAACCAAACCTAAGATCAATCTTAGAAAAGATTACTACTCTATTTAGCTCATCCATTAAGTCCTCTACTAAGGGAATGAGAAATTTATCCTTGATAGTAATGTCATTCGGACCACTTGTAATCCACACAAAACCTCCGGGAACCATCTTTCTTTTTGACTAACAACACTGGTGAAGCAAAAAATGAATGACTAGGTTGGATTATGTAAGTTTGTAACATCTCCTTCACTGAGCTTCTCTACCTCTATTTTTTGGAAATAGTGGTACTTATACGACCTCAAGTTGATTGGTTTAGTTTTTGGTTTCGGGGGAATGGTGTGATCTAAGGCTCGGTGAGGTGGCGAGTACCCTTGGCTCTTTAAAGATATCTTGGTACTCATCTTAGAGAGAATTCATGTATTTTATGTTTCTCCTCCCTTCTCCTTACATATCATCATGAACATATGGCTAGTGACCCCTCTCATCCCTTGTTTAAAGAGTTTTTGCACTATTTTCCTTTTTAGTAAACTATAAGACCCTTCTTCCTTTCCAACCTTTAAGGTGATTTTCTTATTCCCTTGATTTATGGTGACTTCTCTAGTTTTAAGGTCAAAATGTATGGGATTGTAGTTTTCCATCCAATCTAGACCAAGCACCACATCACACCCCTTAAGTCTAGCACCCCTAAGTTAGCTATATAGTTTCTACCTTATATAACCCATTGAAACTCCCTACACCTAGAGTCACTCTTCATTATGGCCTCATTAGTTATTGTCACTATCAATGGGGTAGTTTGCATGGTGTAAAGCTTTAACTCTCTCACAAGCCCTTTGTCAATAAAGCTATTAGTACTCACACTATCAATAAAAATACTAATACCTTTTTTTCCTGCATATCATTTAATTTTAAAAGCATTAGGGGAAGCTTTACCACTAAAGGCATGTAAGGAAATGCCACTATCAACCTCAACTACTAACTCCTCTTCCATTGTATGTTGTTTTTCCTCCATTCCTATACTTGTCCTACTGACTTGCCTCGCTCCACTTCTTCGAGCATCATGTGTAGTAGCTATTTCAACTTACACTAGTACCTTAGGAAGTATTTATCCCCATACTTAAAAGCATTTACCGGGTTCTCTCCTCAATTCATTCATGTTATGTGGCCTCGTTACGGTATTTTCTTTGTGATTGGTAGGGTTGGTTTCGTTGGGAGTTTAGGTTGGGTATGCTAGTTTTGGAATAATGGTGGTAGCTTGGGAAGGCCTATGATATTGGAAGTGGTGTATGTTGGGTGATTTGTTTGGATTATGTGTGGTTTTTCTTAAGGCCTCATTGAGCTTGGGTTGCTCAAATGCTTCTTGAAGGTCCATAGGTTTGAATCTCTTCACTGCTAGGCTTAGGCCTCCCTTTAGCATTCTTATGAAGACCTTGACTAGATACCCTTCTATGAAGCCCGGGTTCATCTTTTCCACCAACGATTTTAGGTCTTTAAACCTCTCCCGATACTCTTCCACGAGTGCCGGTCCGTTGAAGCCTATAAAGCTCTTCTTTCATAGTTGTTTCTTCTTGCTCACCAAATCTCCTATATAGATCCTCCACAAATTTCTCCCGGACCAACCTTCCTTTATCCTCCTTCCATTCTTGAAACCATATGTCAAGCTTGACATCTAAGAACATAGAAGCAGTCTCCACTTTAGGCTCCTCCCCGACTTGATACACTTGAAACACCTTCGGCACTTTCTAGCCCATAGCTTGGGGCTAGTTCCATCGAAGTACTAGAACTCCATCTTTGGCCATAGCTGATTGGGTGCTTGGTGATAGGTCTGGTGAGTCTAAGTTGGTTATGTTGTCTTAGTTAAGGTATTGGGAAGCAACGTTGTGTACGGTATGGGGTGAGTGAATGTCCGAAGGTATGGGTAGAATTCCTTTCCCGGTGTCGATGGTATGAATAGATGAACTGTTAACTCCCTTTTATCCACCCACATTGGTAGGTTGAGAAGCTTTCATAGCTTTTACCAAACCCTGTATGGCTTGTTGAGTTTGGTTCCACATTTGTTTATTTTCATCCTTATGTTGTAGAGCATTAGTTTGGATGTTTGCTACATCGGCTTGCGGTGATTGAGCTGGCCATCAAGGTTTTTAACTTGTTCATCTAAGGTTTTTAGCCCGGTATCTTCGATCATGGTGCGGAAGAGCTTTGATACCACTTGTAAGGGATTAATGGTGGGTGTAGTTAAGATAGAAGAAGAGATGCCGCATACCTAGCAGAGAGGGCGGGATGAGGGACAAAGGAAGAAGAGATAGTAGAGAAGAGGAGGAGAGAGAATTCAAGAATGAATTTTCTTAACAATATTCATGCCTCCCTTGATTACAATTTCCTATATTTAAGGACACAAGGAATCAATCCTTACACTAATATTATTTCTTCTAGAATGCTTCCTAACGAATTCTATTAAGGTTGCGGAATATAACAAACGAGAGGAAATTTGATTATAACTAAATAGACTATTACGCCCTTTAGTTAAACATACTCCTTACTCGTCGTTTTGGGCTTGCGACTCTTCTTAACCGAAACGCAACACTCGTTGGTCATTTTAGGCTCCCGACACTAGCAATTGCAAAAGAAGAGAGAGAAGGAGGACCGGTGGGTATGGGGCCATAGAGGAGGGGAATTAGGTGGTTGATTTGATTGTGGTTGTGGATGCCGACTATTGTCTAGATTTATTAGTATTAATGGATTCATTTTTTAGGACTCTTACTTTAGTGTTGAAGATTGATAGATTTATTTTCATCGGAGTGATGGATGTTCGATTATAGAAGGAGAGAAGAATTTAGCAAATTTTTATTTGAGAAGATGGAGGCTAGGTGAGATTGGGATAAAATGAAGTTATATATATATATATATCATGATTTAATGGTTGTAATTGTTAGGGTTTTAAATTGATTGTCGAGATCGAAGGAAAAGAAGCCAACAAAAATGCAATTACCAGGACCATTTAATGAATGAACGGCAAAAGTATTATTACGAAAGCAAAGGAGGAGCAAAATTTATCTTTTAAAAAAAAAAAAAAAAAAAAACTGTTAAAATAATAGTTAAATAAATAGGTAGGAAATCTGAGTCATGAGGTACAGTGAAATAAACAGTGAAACATATTTGTGTTTTAAAGTTTTTGTAATAATCTTATCCTCGAAATTCAGGTATTAATTTGTGATAGTTCCATCTTGTTAATCAGTATTCTCAGTGTCTATATTTCAGTTATATACAAGTAGGATAAAAACACGAAAAAGAAAACACTTGAGCTTTTCGGTCCATGGAAGTTCGACTAAGCTCTAAGCCTCCCGCCCGCCTGCCCACCCAATTTCCCTAGGGACCTATGCAAAGTTGGTTTTGAAATTCTTCTTGAAGGCAGAGAAAACCAAAATCGTATAACCAGAAGCTAAAGGGCATTAATATTGGAGCAATGAACAACAATCTCCTTGTCGCATCCCTAATTAAGTGCGGTGCAGGAGGATCCTATTAGTTAGGAAAGCTTTCAAGTGGGGTAGGTTAGGGATGCCAGCATCTTGTTATTATTTCAATGTTTCTTAGTGATTCATAAGTCAAATCTTTTAGAGGTAACGGAGTAAATTTCAAATGATCCTGACTTATTATTTAGGAGTGTAGAAATTCTACTTGCTTTAACTTTCATGAGCAAGTAGGAATGGAAGAAAAGAAAAGGCAAGGTTGAAGAAACAACCAAAGAATAAAAGTATTTAGCATTATTATTATTATTATTATTATTATTTACCCATTTTCCCATCATCAATGGCTCGCATTCACTGTGATACCAAGTTTTGCAGGGAACGATTCCATCCCCACTGTGTGTCACCATTTGTGCTAGAGCTTACAAGCTTGTTTGCTGTAATCAACTCAGTAAGCTCGTACCAAATCTATAGCATGCCAGCTTTCGATGACTTAAAGAGTCTACCTACATTAGGAAGAAGAAGAAGGCATGATTCGTACTTTCTTTGGTTATGTTAACTTCCTCGGAGCTGTAGCAATCCTAGTTGCGGCTGCAGTTGCTGGTATGGTAGGAGGGATGGCTCTGCTTGTTACATTGGTATATCCATGCTTCATGTGGCTCAAGATCAAGAAACCAAATAAGTATAGTGGAATGTGGTGGCTCAACTGGGGACTTGGACTACCAGGATGGTGCTAAAGTTGGCTTCATTAACCCTCAGCAACAAATAACTACACCATATCCTATACAGAAGAATTATAGATCTATGTACTGGAGCTTGTTTGTTATTCCTTCAGGGAATATATGTTTGCGTCTTTCAACTGCAGAACTTGCTGGAACCCCTAGAATCCTTGCTCACAACATGAGAATCGTGAAAATATAAAGCATGGTACAAATGCGAGCACCCATCATAACTGACCTTGATTGTATTGTATGACCAGATGCATGATCCAAACCCAACCAAGCAAAAGTGATCCACAGCAGACATTTATTGAGTAAATTATAAATTAATCACTCTATTTTTAATAAACAAATTAATTAATCTCCTTTGTTTTAAAAATTATTTATTTCATCCATTGATCAATATAGTCCTCACTTAATTTAATATTATTTGATTTCAAAAAATATCATCTTATCTTATTTATCTTTTCCCATTTTTTATTTTTTGTATTTCTTAAAAAAAAAAAAATCAAAATAAATTGAAAAGAAAAGAAAAAACGAAATTACAATATATATATAACTAAATAATTAGCTTTCAAAACCAAGACTAATTACTTTGTTCATCAAAACTAGAGGGACTAATTTATAATTTACTCGACATTTATTTGATGAACATTTTTGTAACCTAGACATACAGCATGTCATGGCTGCTATCAGTTGCACTTGCAATCCTAGTGATATATATATATACATGGCAATTTGAATTCTAAAAAAGCAAAAACTTAGATTGATTGGGGCGTTAAAAAATCAGTACACAAACAATTCCGATTTTTTTTCAAGCACCAAACACTAGAATCACCTTCCACTCAAGACCTACAAAAACCTAAAAGCCCACAGCAGGCTCCAACTTAACCATTTGCACTGCCATATCCTGTAGCTAAAACAACAGGATGCACAAGCACACATTCACATGGAGATCAGAGAACAAATTTGGGGGCAAAAATTGTTAGTCATTAATGTTACGATGCCCTCACAACCTCAGCAACAACGGCAGGTCAAAAAATCTAAGCATGTGTAAGGCCTTGACTTTTCTTCGAGTTCCATTGCTGTGGGTAATCTTTCCAAACTATATATGCTGCTTCCAGCGAAACAAAAGTCGTATAAATTTCTGCAAACTCCTTTACTGAATGGATAGACTCGTTCAGGAATCCCTCTGCAGATTTTAAAGAAAGTTAATGGACTAAGAAATCAGCATATATATAATGGTTGAATCACACTTGCTTTTGCTAGTATAATATTGTGCCCTCACAATCATCACAATAGAAGGCTGTCATTCTGGCACCAAATAATGCATGGTGAGAGCACATAAATGAAACCAGCATGCAGTTTGATTTGATAGATTTCGTTGATCAGTAAATAAAATATCCAACTCCAAATGAATGATGTAAAATGAAAGAAGATTCTAAGAGCGCTAGCAAACCTTAGATATGGAATGCGTCTACGTCTTACGAGTTCATAGGTAGTTTGATTTGTCAGAATAAGATAGCTGCATCAAAACCCACAAGTTAATTGCATTAGTATAATCGTGCTAAAGCAGGCCATATGCATTTCATGCGTGTAGACAATTTTCATGACCTATATCTGTTTTGTTTTTTTTTTTTTTTTTTTTTTTTTTTGGGGTGAAAAAAAGTAGTAGCGATAATCATGAAAACTTTAGTAGTAAAAAATAAGTCCACATAAATTAAGCCATAATCTGCTTGCAGCTTTTCCTTTTCATACTGGTGAACTGTAACTTGGTATCATTTCCAATTCCTTGTCAGCGTTTGCATGATCTTTACAGTTTGAGTAACAAATTTTATCTTTTTCTGCCCCTTAGCATACATAAATAGGCCATCAGCTTGAAGAAAGAATCCAAGGGGAATTGCAAACTAAGGCTGGGGAAAGTTTTTCTTTTCCTGCCTCCAGAAACTATGTTTCCTGGTCTGTATTAGCAAACTGGACAGGCACTGTTGTAAGAAACATGATGAGCCAACTAATCATATCTGGGATCTGGCCATTCTAATGGTCCTTGTCAAGTGGAAATCAGATTTATTCTTAAAATGGAAAACTTAATGCCATCCTCCTACTTTCCTGATGAAAACATGCTCCATCCATCCAAATCATATCAATAGAAAAAGCATTAGAAAATTAACTATAGAACCAAAATGACATTTGGATAACTGAGTCAGGTCACTAGAAGCACCGGAAATAACAAATGGGATATTCTAACTATTGTCAATACCGTTGGCTTTTACGGTTAACATAAAAAGGAAAGAAGCTGCGTCTGAAACCATGTATCTGAGAATAGCACGTGGTGAGCAAAATCTTGAGTGAGCAAAAACACTTACCTATGGAAAATGAGGAGCAGCAGGAGAAAGATCAAGGCAATTGACAAAGTAAACAATAGCAGGATCATAATCACATCCTTCCACCTGAAAGTAACAGCATAATTTAGGATCAAATCTAAAACTGCAGAACTAAAAGTTGATCCAGAGTAGCTAACTTAAAATTTCATCACCAAACCCACTGGCACCAGCATGACAATAATCTTGATGACTACTCTTTCCCTTTTCTCCTTTCTTTGAAAGTAGTGATTTTAGCAACCCGCCAGTGTTTCCAAAAAAGAGAGAAGATTCAGAGAAAAACAGAAAAGACTTCGAAAGGACACTGTACCAAGCTCTTGAGATGTTAGCTTTCAAGTATGTAATGTACAAGATGGCAGTCCAAAGGCATAGTGCTGTTTCTTCAAAAATGTACCACCTAAGAAAAACACAAAATATTGGAAGTACATTAGAAGTATAAGGCAAATCCTACATGTTTCAACTGATATGCATCATGACCAGTAAACCATATAGCCCTACATGCAATGTTGGGAACAACAACCAATAATGACACAAAACTTCTCATTTTCAATAAGACCATCCAAGAGCAAAGCATAGGTCTTCAATCCATATGTGCTGACCCATAGCAACTAAATTTGAAGCAATCAAAATTCCATATTGTAAATCATTTTATCCAAATACATATGGAGTCAGAAATCTGATAATCCGAAAGCAAAATGATGTTATGAAAATGTGAAAATTAAGACAAAATGTTTGACCTTCTCTTCATCAAATAAACATGTTAATAATGGCATGTGGTGAATATCAGATCCAGAAATGATAATTACAACAGATTATGATAGACAGTGAACTCAATTATCACTGAGTAAAAAAAAAAAAAAAAAAAAATCAACCATAAACAGCTTAAGTTTATTTTGAATGTATAACCACTCTTATGGAATTTGAAGAACGGCATCATTTTGTTTAGAATCCATTCATCACAATTTTGGCATAGAGGACTTCAGAAGGATAAAAAACTTACCAAAATCGACAATGATTTCCCCGGCCAATGCATGTCCCAAGCCAAACACAATGATGGTCAAACTGAAGTACACATTTGTCACAATCATGGCAATGCTTCGCTCGTGGAGGCTGCAATTATGGAAAAAGAAAAATAGATAACAATTACCTTATAGGTAAAATAGAGTTCATTGAAAAAAAAAAAAAAAGCCAGAAAACATGTTTTATAATCAACACAGCTTCACCAGTACTTAATTTGTGCAATCAAATGATTATTAGAGTTCCACCATAATGGCAAATGAGATTATTGAGCAGGAAAAGCAGCATTGCTGGAAACTGGCTAAGTTTCTCAGAGGCTTAAAGCATCACCAATTATAACCCAGATTTTTACTCGGCAACCTCATTGAACCTAACATTCTTATCAAAATTATTACAACCAGCATATTAATTATTTTTTATGCAAAAATTTCCCGAAAAGTTTGTATGTGTATGTGTGTGTATTTTCCATTTGTTGCAAAAGAAGGAAAAGCTAGCCATGGAGGAGATGAGGATTACAGTGAACTTTGAAAGGTTAGAGATGGGTAGTACTTCATATTATCGCTTGACAAATTTTTTTGTGTGCAAATGTACTTGTAGATTGATGAGATGATCACTTAATCTAGTCTATCAATTATTGGGAAAAAAAAAAAGTAATAATAATTTATGTGCAGTCATGCTTCCATGCTTAAGGGGGCATTGCACCAATTCTTGGGCTTGCAAGCACAAAGGTGTATGCTGAAGTCTTGGAAACCAACCAATTCATGCAAAAATCATAAAGTGTGAAACACTGTCCAAATTCTCCATCCAGAACTTTTCAATGGGCTCACAATTCAGTAACTGCCTCCATGAGTAGTAACTTGGGAAGAAAATTCATTTAGGCACTTTTAGATGCTTCACTCAACCAAAATAATTCAACCTTCTTTCTTATACAACAAACTGAACAGTACGAAAGCAGGTAGTTGTAGATTTAAGCATTCTAGAGTTGGAATCAGATTGTAATTGATGCAACCGGGTGGATCACACAAACTAGGATGTAAACATGAGAAAACATATACCTGCTCAACATTACAATAGGAACATGTCAAAGTTCTGCAAAGACCAAGGCAAAGAAGTTAGCAACATATAATGCTAGTTTTTAAAAAGATATAGAATAGACGCATTTTCTTTTCCCATTAGTAATTATTGCATGAAAATATATAGAAATGATCTTAGTGGCACTACAATCTATTCATTTTCCTGATTTATACATCAGCCATGATTTTTTTGAACATCATGTTATTAAATGCAAGAAAACAACTGAAATTATAAACAGGGGACCCCAACGTGTTTATAAGCATCCCTTTTCAAGATCTTAAGATTGAGAACTTTTGCATCATCTAATATTCTAATTTCAAGACCCTGGGTACAATTAAGGCTTAGTGTAGGCATTGGCACTTTTTTAGCAAACTTCAAGTACTTTTTGACATTGAACAGCTGTCTTTTACGGCATCATTGACTTTTCCTGGCCCAAGTTCAAGAAAACATGAAGACTCCTTTTGGTCAAGTCAATAACAATCCTATCATCTCTAAGAGGTAACAATGCACTATACCCAGCCCATCAACTTGTCACATAAAAGACCAACAGGCCCAAGGAAGGGATTCCTGAGTGTACCCAGCATTCACAGTTGTCATTGATTAAAACTAAAGCACACATGTGTAAGGCACTTGCATACCTAATAGATGTTCCAGGAGGATACATGTCCAGAACTAGCTTTGTCCAAGATGTAACATTACTACCTGGAACATTTCTTTCTGACTGACTGCCTTCCACAGTAATAACCAAGCTTCCACTTTTGCTTGAAGCAGGCTGTCTTTGCTCAAACATTATAGCAATTGATAGTTAGTATGATCAACTTAAATGCAATTGCCCTCCAGTTTATTTTAATTTGCGTTATTTGCAATGATTGGTCTGTTAAAAGAAAGTTCCAAATTAGGGCTTACTTTGACAACATTGATGCCCTTCTAAATAATGAATTTTTCTCATTCAGATCCCTCATTGCATCAACTACATAGCTGAAAGTGTTAAAAAATCGGCAAGATTAGAACACAAAAAAGGAAGAAATAATATCAGGCAAGTAGTGAAATAAATCACAGAGACTAATGAAATATACTTCAGAAATTATGTGTTCTAACCACAAAGCATATTCATTACAAGGCATTACAATTGCATCAAAATTTACCCGGGAGAAGAACACGATGTAACAAAGTATTGAATCAATGTTGCAACAAACAGCAACAGATATGTTGCAGTGTACCTGAAAGGAGGAAAAAAGTTGCACATAAATTCTTCAATGTTATGGATGGTATACCGCACACTCAAGTTAAAGAGAAAATCAGAAACCATACCAAGCAAATAATCTTAACAAATTTTTAAAACACATCAGTAGCTACACCCTCCTTACATAGACTACATAACATCCACAAACAATAACATAACTACGCACTCTATTTACCATATTTTTTACCTAAAACACCCTTGATTACTATGCTAACATAAAATGCACATCAAAGGTTTGTCAGCACGTCCACAGAGAATAATTAAGACTCTTAATCTTACTGTCATTGTCGAAAGAAAAAAAGGCATAATTCTCCTTAACACTTCACAACCCTATTTATAGTTTCACTTACATTGTTCATACCTGCAAATTATCTTACTGAAACAGTAATCAACCTTCTCTACCGAGCCTTTAGTTGATGATTATAACTAACTCAACTTAATTCAACAACTCAATTCATCAAACTCATTCAATCAATCGAATTCCATTTCCAACATCACCAACAAAACCACAACTAACCAACCACACGCCACCTTCAACTATATTTAAAAAATTCAATAACCCCATTTTTAGTTCCACACTCCAACAATCTAATTCAATAACTAAATCAACCAATCAAAACCAGAAAGTAACATACTTTCTCTTAATAACTCAAGCATTACTCTCAAATTTCCGAACTTTCAACAACCAACAAGAAAAACAAAAAGCAAAAGAAAGAAACAACATACCATGGCTCTTCTTTTGTTCTATCTATCAAATCGCTATAAAAAAGAAAGAGAATGCCTGCGTATACAATATGCAACACCACTAATGCTGCTTTCAACCCCAATGAAGATCTCCTTGCTACACAAACAAAACAAAAACATTAATTACAAAAAACGAAAGTAACCCATCATTTCATTTCTGATTCTCTACCAGAAAGTCACCTGGATCGGCAAGGCAAGGGACAATATGGTAACAGAAATTGAAAATCGACATGGAAGCTAAAAAATCATTAATTGAGGGAAAAAATTATGAAAAGGGAATAAGAAGAAGAAGAAGAAGAAGAAAGTGAGAGTGTTAATTGTTAAGGGAATGCAAAGTTCAAAAAAAAAAAGAAAAAAAGAAAAAAAGGATTGATTTGTTGAGAAACTAAACAAAGATGGAGTGAGAAAGAGGAGGAGTGACGATGGATGGTACTATTTGATTTTTTATTTAATGGAAGAAGCTGCATAGAATATAAATGATTAGTTGGTGTGAAGAAGTTGTTTATGCTACTAAGTCATTAATTAATAAAACTGAATGACCATGGGCTTTCTTTCTTTTTTTTTTTTTTTTTATTATTATAATAAATGGCCCATACTATCCAGGGATGACAGATATATAAGCACATTATTTTTTTTTTATTGTTGATAAAAATAATAAGTTCACCAAAAGGTCAAATTTTTGCTATCACGCAAGTGATTAAGGGTACGCTTTGTAGATTTATGAGGAGTTTGCATCCTGATGTACTTTCGGGGAGCATTAACCAAGAAATATTGAACTCTTCCACTTTCTCACATCGTCAAATCTTTTTTCATTTCAGGATCTTTGGACCACAAGAAAGTTTGTTGGTCCCTGCGTAGCATTATTTTCTTCAAAATCAAATTCAATAGCCCAAGCCCCTTAGTTACAATCGAGGGTCACCTAACAATTTCTTTCTTCGACCTTAAAAGTTTTTCTTTAAAAAACTATAATGATTAATTAGATAGTAAATGGATTTGTTTTTCAAGCCTTTTCCTATTATAACTCTCTCTCTCGTTTTAATAGGGAGTTGGATTTAGTCCCACCAAGCTTGAAGACACCTCTATAGTGCAGTGTTTTTGGTTGCTGTAACCACTTTTTTTGACATTATTCTGTCTGGATGATATAGATTGTGAATATGTCGAGGTGTTTCTTGTGATTCTACTCATAACTAAGTTGGAGATTGTTGTCCTGGTTTGAAAGCTACGTACTTGGGCAGACTTTAGACGACAAATTAAATATCGAGGGGGAATAAATGGATTGCGCAACAGTCGTATATACTTGACATTTAGTCGCATACATGAATTTACAAAAAAAAAAAGATCATTGACGTTAGACAAAGAGCATAAACAATGATGAATTCAATGTGGGAAATTATCAAACTCATAAATCTTGTCCTTCAAATACAGAAAGGAAAAGCACAATGGCGGAACATTGTCACAAATTACTTAAGGATCTTCTTCATTTGTCTACTTTGTCTGAGCCGTATGGGATATATATGGCACTTCAGTGAAAACGAAGTTCCTATTTAGCTAGGTGATTTTTTGTTTAAATCGAAGTGCATGAAATGTAGAGTATAGTGATCTTAGATAGCTGATAATTGAAGCAATGACTGGTACGAAAAAAAACTTTGGCCAATGCCAAAGAGAAGCTAGCTACCCAATTCAATGACTCAAAGAGTCCAAAATCTTCCAAGTCAGCCAGTTAGTCTTGTGTTTTCTTTTATTGGTTTCGCCTCTAGATGGTATGATACCATCAGCTGGTATTCAATTGCAGAAGAATTAAACGTAAACGTGAAAAAATCGAAAGAAAGGTCTTTCGAGATCTTTTACCAGTGCCATATATATCTAGTGTCAGCCTAAAACCAGCGTATTTCCCTACGCCAGAATTGTCATCAGTATACAGACACATCACGCCGAGGAAGGTCAAGATGAATCGGTTGTGATTACTCTCATTTTCTGTTTTAAGGAAATTAATTATCTTAATTAACAGTCCTCAACTTCTTGTTTGTGAAGCACAGTGGAACTACGCACGCCAGTCCAAGAGGGAAATAATACCAGACTAGATATTGTCTTTTGTCTTAATTTGGTTGCTCGCTCAAGCGATCACCTCAAATTAGCATATATGCTCATAGCTTATCTTGAAATTTTCTAATTACAGATGAGCATCAAGACAACACAGATAAAAACTGGTTATGAATGCTAAAAAGACCAAGTCCTTGGACTTATCATGGCTTTTGGCATCAAAATAGCATCATGCTCAACATTTTCTGTGATACATTTGCATGTTCGAGACTCACATCAAGTTGATTGCATTTGACATGGAAGAAAACATATTAGCATATATATGTTTAATATTTGGATAATTAATTCCATTTGTCTGGTTCACTATTAATTAGGTCTATCCGCCCAATGAACCTGAGACTTAGTTGAAAATTTTTGTGTACATTATTACAGACTGGAACTTGGGACAGTGACAGGTAAAATAGTTAATAATACTAACAGCTTCTTGTTTTTTGGTTACTTCTTTTTCGTATAAATTGACTACAACCGAGCATATATAGAATACTGATCGAACTAACCAATATAGAGAAGTTACATGCACATATAGAGCAAACATAAATCTTATGGCGTCGCGGATGTCGAATTCATGCTCTCTTTCACTAATCATGTTTCTTGTCTTGGTCTGCTTGGCCAAACCAGTAGTTCCAGCAATTTTCATATTTGGGGATTCAACAACAGACATTGGCACCAACAATTATTTGCCTGTGCATCAAGCAAGGGCTGATTTTCCTTTCAATGGAATCGATTTTCACGGTGCAAGGTTTAGCAATGGCTATAACATTGCTGATACTATTGGTATAGTCCTATTACATAAACTCGGTCCAGCAAATATATATATATATATATGCATGTACGTACCTACTGTAACTTTTCATGACCTTTTTTGGTCTATATGGATCAACTGCATTTGCTTAGTTTTACATTTTCTTTTCCGGTATGCTGTTCAGCAAGGTTATTTGGCTACCAGCGAAGCCCACCGGTATTTTTGTCTCTTCTCTATGACCGAGGATCTGAATCTCAACGGTATATCTTTTGGGGTGCCAACTTTGCATCAGGAGGAGCCGGACTTCTTGACACAACAGGACTGCAATTTGTAATATCTTTACCTTTCCCGTAAAAAAAAAAATAATAAAATATATATATATTCCTGAGGATTACTTCAATAGAAGCACTCTTATCTAAAGAATTTAAATGCTTTCAATGATAGGGAAAGGTGGTGCCCATAGCAGAACAAGTACAGCAATATGGAACTATATGCAACAATATCACACAACTAATGGGGGAAGATGGAAAGACTGTCACTGCCAAATCCATCATTGTCATCAGCATGGGAAGCAATGACATATTGGATTATTTCATGTTTAATGAATCTCGGAACCAAGAAAAATGCATAGCAGTTCTCATGCAATGTATCTAATCCATTTAACGGTTTGTATAACTTATCAATTCTTTTCCTTCTAGAACGAATACTTTGGATAGTCGCTCACGAAGCTTAAATGTACTAGCATGACGGTCCAAATCATTTATATTTCTTATCAGCTAAAACATAGATCGCAATTAGCTAATTCCTGTGAAGTTAAATTCCTTAACATCGTTAGAAGTACGCTTTTCATCTCCCTTTTTTCTCCAATGGCAGAACTATTAAATTTTGGAGCAAGAAAATTTGCTGTTGTAAGTATTTCACCGATAGGATGCATCCCTCGCTTCAGTGTTTTCAATACCACTGGTGCACTACACCAAAAATAAGTTATATGGGTGAAGTCTCTGAGGCGGTCAAAAAAACCACCTCAGACTTTAATTGTCTTGATATCACATACACTTTTTATAAAATAGATATGAGGCGGTTGCTAAAACTGCCCCTAAAAAAACCATCATTATCTCGTTTTCCTTCTTGTTTTATATTTAGGCCTTCTCTTTTTCTTTCTATTCAATTGAATTGTTTTAAGAGAGTAGATCGAGTAGTTGAAATCAGTCTGCAGCAAAAATTAAAATTAGGGTTTCTTTGTTTTAACAGCTTTAGATAAATCGCACCTCTTCTCCTCTTTCGCTAGAGCCACCAAATCAATGTATCTCTAGCTTCGACAAGGCAGAAGGTGCAGCCACCATGGTAATTCTTCGATTCTCTCTCCCTTGCTTCCTTTTTTGCTTTGATTTAGCAACTTTATATAAACTGTAACTGTCCTTCTCTTCTGCTAGAGCCCCCAAATCAACGTATCTCCAGCTTTGACAAGGCAGAAGGTGCAGCCACCATGGTACTTCTCTTATTCTCTCTTCCTTTCTTTCTTTGTTGCTTGCATCGAATCTCCACATCTCTAAATCACACTGTCTCTTACTCTTTACTTTTTTAGGTGAAGTACTCTAAAGAGCCTGGTAATTCCACCAAGTGTAAGTGTGCCAATATTTTTCAATTTGGGTTTTTTGTGCTTGCTTATGACTGGTGGACATCTTATTCCATACAGCTTGCAACCCAAAGGGATCTGACCTCAGAGTTCATTTAAGGTATTTTGTTTAAGATTTTAATGGGTTTCATTTTTTTATGCCGTTACTTGTTTTTTTTTTTTTTTTGGGTTTGATTTATTAGTAAAACCTGATGGAAAAAAATAGACTTGTTGCTTATTGGCTTCTGGTGGTGTAATTGCTTTTGTAGATTGGATGGATGGATACCTTATTTTGTTAAAATAGTAGAGATAAGAAAAATATGGTAGGAAGAAACTCCTCTGTTTTTGTTGATCTTAGTAGTTTCATTTTTGCAATGCTAATTGAGTTTCCACTGCAAACAACCAAAATAATTAATTGAATTTCTCTTATCTTACCTCTACTGGCATTCGTTTCACCAATTCACTAATATTTTCAATATAATCCTATCTTTCTATTGCAGAAGCTGCAACCATACTTTAAATGATATGGACTGATCCATTGCAGTATAAAGGCATTCTCTTTGAATTCATCAAACAAAAGCGTGCAAAGCTAGAATGACAGGTAGATGGTGATATTATAATAGACTCGCATATAAAGTATACATTTATATATGTGCTAGCACAAGAAAAATTCTAATTATGCAAAGTGCAGGATATAGAGAGAGCTGAAACTAAGGTACACCTTATAATTCATGTACAGATAGGATATTCATCACCTACTCAATCTGGAATCATAAATGACTTGGCTCTTTCTGTAGCAGAGGTAAGCAATTTGCAAGTTTCAATGACATCTTTTAATATGTTCAATAATAAGTACATCATTTTCTCCTTTTGCATAAAATGCCTTGTATTGTTTCTTTTCTGTTTGTCATTAATAGCATGGATCTCTGATATGCATTCTTGTTCTAACACACAAATTGATATTAGTCTATCTATGAAATGAAAATAATCTTGAGTATCAGGGCTAGCTGCATTGCTGAGATTTTTTTCTTTTTGGTGAATTCTATTAAGCTAGTTAGTAGCATCCAACACAGTCATGAGAATTATGCATGCCGTCCTTGGAGGAGGAAAGGGTAATCTTCCCCCTTCAGTATTTTGTTTTTTTCCTATGTTAGAGGGAGTAGTATAAAAGTATACAAATGTGAAGTAAGATTAATTTCTCTAAGACGTATAGTTTGGTTCTCTTTTGTAGTTGCTGAGATATTGTTGTGGAAGGACAAAATATTATCAGGAGGAATCCTAGCTAGGGGTTGTTACTGTAATCTGGCTTCTGTTTCGACTTACAGGGTACCCTTTTATTACTTTTTTTTGTCACATTCTCATCCTTTGGATGATCATCCTCCTCACATGGTCTAAGAGTGCAGGACTCATCAAAAGGTAACAACTCATTAGCATATTCTAAAATCTATTATTGCCTGTTTAAGATCCTTACATTTTTTAGATTATTCTATTTTCCCAATAAATGGAATCTTTGCTACAAATATAGGGAACAATATTGGGTTATCACTTTTTTTCCTCCCTCCCTTTATATTTCATTCCTAGCAAGGTTGTACTTTAATTTAAAATTTTATATGTACTGATTTGTTCATCAATTCAGGAATCCTCCTACTTTTAACGACATACGGTTGCCAGAACCAGTATTTATGTTCTTCTCTGATTAAATCAACTAGACATTACTTGCATTTTATAATACTTCCGTGGGCCAGAGAGGTTTAAAAACCTTTTTTGTGGTATGCAAGTCTCTTATCTCTTGACCATTTTCATTTTCTACATTTATCTATTTTAGTTATGGATTTAATTCCTAATTGTGGGATACAAGCCTCTTTTCTCCTGACCAAGTCTCTTATAGATTTAATATCCATTTTTATTTTTGTTCATACCTATATATATATATATATATCTACTAAAATGAATTGGCTTTATTTGGAGGCTTTGGACTTTGTCATGTTCCTATTAGGACTTGATCAAACTCCCCTCATTTTTTAGGTTACTAATCCTACTTCTAACTTTTAAGTTTTACTATAGAGTTAGACAGTTCACAATAAGTTTAAATTGCATAGACCCCACAATAAGTTATGTGCAAGGCCTGGAGCTCCCCACATTTTCAACGTTGTTAAGTCTTTCTTCTGACTTTATCTATCAAATAAGTTTAAATTGCATAGACCTAAAGTAAAAGCTGAAAGAAAGGACACATTTATGATTCATATGCAAATTATTGCATCAAATCATTTGTTTCGTTGCTTAAGTTTTCACCCACATTACTCTGCCCAGAAAACAATTGTGACTTGTCGTCGCTGGAGTGCGTATTTGAGTGGTAATTTCCAAGCTCGTAGTTTTCCTGGTGAAGTATTTTCTTGACTTTTTTTTTTTTTTTTAACTTGAATTAAGCAGGTGGTTGAGATAACAAAAGGAAGTAAGGTCAAATATGAACTGGACAAGAAGACAGGACTAATCAAGGTATGAATAATTCTGAATCCATTGAAATTGAAAAAAATTAGTCCTAGATTCTGGACTCTCTTTTTCTTTTTTTTTAAAAAAAAACTTCATTCCATCTCGCCATAGCCTTTTTTTTTATTTTTTTTCTCTTCAAATGAATGCTTAGATTGATCAGATTTTATATTATTGTTTTTTTTTTCACTTTCAAATTGTGCTTTTGATAGGTTCGCAATGATGGTGATGGTCAAAATGTCCTCCTCCTAATCGTTCACGATAATCAAGTCATTCGTCGAAAGAGAGTTTTTTTTAAAAAAAACATTAGCCACTTATTTTAAAATATATTTGGAATTTGGTTTATGTATTTCGAACAAGTGTTTAATCCTTTAGTTTGATGACTTTTTATGTATTTAGAATTTAATAATGACAAATTTAAGAATATTGTGTAAGTCTGTATAATTTTCTTTTATTTGCATTCAATAAGATTAACTTTTTTTTTAATTTATTTATTTTTACCCAAAAAAAAAAACAAAATAATTGAATTTGAAGATGAAATAAAACTATAATATTAAAGGCGAGTTAAAGAACCGTCTTTATGAATTCTAAAATCTGCTTCTATGACTTTTGAAAAATGATGCGGTTACAATTGCCTTTATAAATTCTAGAGCTTAAGGCGGTTAAAAATTTTAAATCTTACGACGGTTGTAAACATCTCAAATATTTTGTGCAAAATTTTAAAAACAAATGTAGGAATGTAGAGGTGGTTTAGAACTCGCTTTAAAAATTATGTGCCAACGAGATATAAAAGATCAAATTCGCATCGTAGAGGTGGTTGGAACCGCCTTAAAAAAAAATTTGAGGCGATTAAACCGTCTCGGACTTCCCGGTGGTTGGCAAAACCGCCTCTACATCGTAGAGACGAGTGGCATTGCAGGTGGTTCAAAAACGCCCCTATAATCTGCAGAGGCGGTTATAACCGCCTCAGAAGGCAAAAAAACCGCCCCCAATACCTTTTTTGTTATAGTGGTGGGTGTGTTGAATAGTTGAACTCCTACACTCGAATGCTTCATTCGGAACTCAAAGGGGTATACGAAATGAAGTACTCGCTTGGAAATTCATATGACATGACAATGGATATCATTGACAACCCTTTTGGATTCCGTAAGTGTTATGCTCTACAACACATTTTGTAACACCCCGACTTCCTTACCAATTTCCTAAAAGGTGTGGCTAGGTTTGTTACATTGTTACGACTAAAATCCCAACTTACTTCTATAATACATAACCATAGAGTGCATACCAAACAATTTACATACCAATAATAAATATAGTTACGGGAAGTTACAAAATGTCTAAGATGCTCTTTATCCACTAATAGACACCGTACCCCCTAATTTATAATCAAAAGAGAATCCTATATTTTCGGATAACACATAAGCCTCTTTTAGTGAGAACCGATAACATCCTCACTCGAATTATCTTTGTCCTTACTCGTTACATCACCCATTTACAACAACGGAATGAGCCAAAGCTCGGTAAGTAGGGTGATGCACGTGATATGCGGTATTTTCCTATTATTACGCCTTTCCCCATCAATTTTAGTTCGAGTACCATAGGCATTAGTAAGTTCGCTCTATTTTCATCTCTTGGTGATTACCGAATCATTACTGCTAACAACGGAATTATCTCTCATTGTAGCACATAGATAGCAAGATGATCCATCGTCTAGTGGTGTACTCAATCAATAGAGCGGACACATAGCTTAATTGCTAATACCCATTTAATCCGAGTTTGGTTACCAAACCTTATCAAGTCTCAATCAAATTTTCTTTCTCAATTCAATCCATCCCAAATGCATATGATGCACATGATATTTTAATTATCACATTCGTGCAATCATGGTTACCAAACTCTATATTCTCAACCCATTCTTGGAATTCAATCCTCGCATAAGATTTTAGATATAGTTCGTATTGTTTATATAGTAACCATCCAAAGAACAATTATCACTAATTTGTATTCGGTCTAAACTTTACTTCGTACGTAAGTACCTTCCCTTCGTGTAATTAGTAAGTCTTATCATAAAATTTGACCTACACTTAGCTTACGTAGATGTTAGCCTTATGGTCCAATTTAAATCGCATCTAAGGTGGAATTTCTCTCTTAGCTGGTATTTTGGCATAGATGGTCGAATTTAGCTTCTAACCGATCTAAGATAAAATTTTCATTTTTCTTGAAGTCTAACCCTTCTACACTTCAATTTATACATATTTAGGTATAATTGAACCATTAATTACCAAGTTGGATGAGTGGAACTCAAATCCCAAAAGTTAGGGTTTAGGTCGAATGGTTCTCGGAGAGTGGCAAGAATTTTTCTTTCATTACAATGGAGTTTGGTTTCATCCTAATGTATACTTAATTGAGTTACAATTAAGTCCTCGGTTCTTAATTACATAAAAAAAAGTTCAATCTTTCCTCTTTTTGGCATTTAGGCCGAATGGGTTTCCTAAGAAATGCCCTAGAAACTCATTCCTTCCAAATCCATCTCAACCGTAGTTTAATCCAACCAAATTTCAATCCATGCCCCTTTGTTTATACCAAACCTATCAACACATACTTGGACATACACAAAGCTTTATAAGCTTCAA